TGATTTGAACAATTTAGAATCTACACTACACCAGGATGCTTCCACATAAGTTTCAGCTTTTCTGGCCCAGTCAGGTTCTTGAGAAGAAGATTTTCAAAGATTTTTCCTATATATTTCTATGTAAAATTTTGATTCCCCATTGTGGCCCCGCCCTTCCCCCGGGGGTCATGATTTGAACAATTTAGAATCCACACTACCCCAGGATGCTTCCACATAAGTTTCAGCTTTACTGGCCCAGTGGTTCTTGAGAAGAAGATTTTTTAATGACCCAACCCTATTTTTGTCTTTTCTTGATTATCTCCCCTGGCGAGGGGATATGTCCTTTCATTTTAAGAATTTAAATTCCCCTTTACCCAAGGATGCTTTGTACCAAGTTTGGTCAAAATTGGCCCAGTGGTTCTTGAGAAGAAGAAGAAAATGTGAAATGTTTACAGACGGACAGACAGACGGACAGCTAGACGGACGGACGACGGACAAAATGTGATCAGAAAAGCTCACTTGAGCCTTCGGCTCAGGTGAGCTAAAAAAGCGAGCTTCACAATTGAACAAACAGTTTTGTACTTCAATTCTAAGTTTAAAAAATTGAAATAAAACCTATCTACTAAGGCCAGATAAAATTAATCTTTAGATTCTCATCCCCGCCCGCCCCTCTCAAAATGTCCCGCCCCGGTGTTTTTTTATCTTGATTTTTGGGTGTTAATAAACGTATTTTCATGTATTTCTATTCAGCAAGAATTTGGGTCAAAGTTTAAGAGTTATCTCCCGTCTGTATTAAAAGTCGCATGTCGCTATTTATGGCAAAAGAGCCATGTGAAGAATGGAGAAAAATCGGCAATAAAAGCACTTTAAAAATGTATGGAAAGATAATTTGTCAGTATAGAGAAGGTAGAGAAGAAAAAAATAGCATAATTGCAACACATCTAGATACCATCACTGACATGTGCTTGAGTTTTTAAAGAGATTTTAGCTACGTAAAAATAGACGAGGAAAATGACACATGGTCAAGTTTTAACGATCTCCAGCTATGTATGATTTTGCTTTGAAAAAAATAAAACATCGTTGGCAGACTTTTGAGACTGTTTTATAAGTTCTAAGGAAATCTTAAAACTGTTCAGGCAGGGTTTTTAATAAAATATATTTCATCAGAATATTGTACATAGGTTGAACCCTCTTTTTACTAGAATTTTATAAGTACCAGTACGTTAACCAGTAACCAGTATGTTAACCAAACTTTCTTTTCTTTGGCCTTATGTTTTCCCTTTGCATACAATATTTATGCCATAATCATGCAATTAATAGTAGTGATTAAAAGTCAAATGTTACAACATTCAATCTGTTCTATTTATATGTCTTGTATAATTCTTATTTGTATTCTATCCCCACCCCCTTTTCTCAAAATTAATCCTTTACAATTAAAAAATGTCCATTGAAAGGCTGGTCCCCCCCCCCCTTTTCCACTCTTTCTACAGTATAGTTAAATCATGGTTGCTAGGTTAGTAAAGTATTATGTATTGTTAAAATTGAGATATGAGAGGAAGCTACAACCTAGTTAACCAACCAAAATTAACAATATAAAAGGAAAAGATCAAATATTGCAATATTTGATATTGCCGTAATACAGTAGTAGTAAAAGAAGAAATGACAACCAAAGGGGTCTTGTTCAATAAATTCTATTCCTTATCATTAAAGTTGAACATGACTCATAAATAGGCATATGCTATTTTTGATATTATATACCATACATCAACATCAGGGTATACATTTCGCATTTGTTAGACCTGACTACTCTATTGTCACGATATCAGCATGGAATAGCAACCGGTGTCCATGCTGGTTATCTTGCATTTCATTTGTTTACATTTTATTGCAGTTGTGTGTATCTGTGTTTGTTTGTATAGTGCACTGACCTGTACAACTATTATTGTAAATTTCTTGGTATCTTACTTTCCTGCATCAGATGAAGTAATACATTATTTTTATCGCTACCAAGTGCTGTATAGCATATGTCCGTCTACACTGGTGTCAATTGATTACACTGAACAGTATCAAAGTCAGGCCCTTTATATGGGGTCCTCAGATATAGCAAGAATCCAAACAAAAATGGCAGACACATTCCTTTACAAACTATGTTCAGCTTAAAGAAGTTAGCTTCTTGCTTAAATTTTCAAAATGCTCATACAATAGATTCATGATTCTTGATTGTCATTACAAGGACTTACAAACTTTAGTCTTGCTGCTGTGGTAATATGGTTTACCAGTATGTAGAAATCTGTGCGATTGATCATTCTGTGGAAAAATTTGTATCCCTAGGGTAATTCCTAGGGCCAAAATTTGACAAACTTACATCTACACTACCTGGGACAGTTGCATAATAAATTGACAAAGTACTGTAAACATTTAAAACTATGTGTGGCATGGTTGCATGTAGTGTGTTCGAAAAGTTCCGTATTAAAGTTCAGTGATTATAGGGTACATATACAGCAGCACAGCACTCTAAGCTCATTATAATGCTACATGTATGATTTAAAGAGATGAAATGTCATAGAGACTGATAGTGATGCCATGAAGTGTCATGCCCTAAGACTTTTTAGCAGAAACTGCTTTCCGTGAACATGGTGAAAGGCCCTAAATACATGTACAATATTATATTCTCCCTCAATTTATTCGTCCCATATAGTACTAAATGAGAAAATTACAAGGCATTCACAAGTTATATAAGCACCTGCTCGCTAGTGCTTTTATTCATTTTATACATAATAATTAATTTATAATAAAACATTCAGAAAGCTTTAAATGATAATAAATCAAATCCCTGCTAAATTGTTAAAAAATCAATTTCCATCCAATATTGTACATGCCAAATAAAATTCATTTACAGAATATCCCTTCTGTTTCTGAGAACAGATTTTTAAACATTTTGCAAATTATAAATTTATATATATGTTTGATCAAGCTGTACACTTTGTGTCCATGGGGTTCTTGGAAGCAATTTATAGCATAGAACAAGTTTGAATTCTATGTGTTAACTCATTTATTACTTTCAACCCAGTAAACCCATTTTTCCATCTTAATGACCTGAGAAATGCCGTTAAAAAATCATAAACAAATAAGTTGAATGTGAAATGCCCTATAAATGCATTCGTAAGAATGCAATTTTAAACATTTAAAAGTGTTATAATGCATTATAGTGATTAGTCTGTGGTATCAAATAGCAACATTTATGCAAGTCTTTAAGTGATATTGAGATAAAATCTATACTCTATTTCTAAAAAAAATATAGAGCTAGACAACCCTTCAGACTCTTTAATTTTGCAGCACCTTAAAATTCTCTATACCATTAGAATTCATTTAAGAAATGAATTTAATTTTTTGAAGATTCATGAGGTATATGAACTACAACGCTTCACGCCGGCATATTTCATGAAGCGCTAAATATGCCGGCGTGAAGCGTTGTAGTTCATATACCTCACGAATCTTCAAAATTTAAATTCATTTCTTATATTCACATTATTTTTCTGATGAGTAGCCACAAATTGATGCCATTCAACTCTATAGAGTGTTTTTAGAGTGCACTATAGTTTTACCTCAAGTGTGGTATTGTGTTGTGACAATGGAGATATTCATGTGCATCCATGGTAGTTCATGAGAAAATGAACAATGCTCCTATTTGCAAAGAATCTTAAGGAAAATTATTTGGAAATGTAAATATTTGCTAGAGTAAAAATATGGCTTTGTAATACATGTATCAGGTCTAATATTTTCCCTAAGGATAAGAAAACAACACTTCATAATTTATATGATCATATTTTGTGATACATTGTACCATATTACATTCTGAGAAGAGCAATGGATATATTTTTATACACATCCCATTACAGCTAACTCATATGAACTTTTGGAGAAAAATATGTGACTCGATGAAGTTGAATGTTTGCATATAGTATATTCATTCTGGATTTAATGTGTACTTAGTATTTCTAACTGCTACTAGGATTAGACAGGTTGAATTAAAACTGTCTCATGGGGATTAATACAGTTAAGATCAACTTAAGAAAGGACATGCATAACATCTTACAAATAAATTATACACATATACTACAAATTTCTATGACCTGAATCAACTGACTGAAGTCTGCACATCTTTGGTTGTGAGCAAATTTTTCTTTTCAGTGTGAGAGTATGACCTTCCACAATTGTAGCGATGAAATAGAAATACCGGTATGTCCTCCCTTGTCTTAGGGTTCATTGATAATACATTATGAAAATTTGTAATAGTGTATGAAGTTTAAGAACAGATAGAGGGAGGGGTGGTAAATGGACATGACAAATACTATATGCCCTGGACATATTCACAAGAGGCCTGAGAGCCACAATGCTCACCAATCTAACTTAGGCCCTGCTGTTTTACATAAGTTTTTTTTCTTCAAATATACATGTACCGGTATTTCTTATGTAAAATTTTGATTTTATTCGTTTGATTTAAATGTTTAAAAAATTGCTAACATTAACAGACAGACAGATGATGGATAACAGCTAATCAGAAAAGCTCACATGAGCTCTTAGTACCAGTGAGTAAAAAAAAAAAATTTGTTTAATTTAAAATTTTACCCTATTCTGAGTATTTGCAACCCCTCCATATCCACAGGAATCAACAATTTATAATCTACATAAGCCTGCAAACTTTTGTTTAAGTTTCATTTTGTTTTCTGACCAAGTGTTCTTTGGATAAAATTATTTTAAAATGAATCCATCCTTTTTGGCCTTTTCTTGATTAACTCCCCTTGAAATGAGCTTGACACTTTACTGTATAAATTTTTAGAATCTTTTACCTAAAGATACTTTATGAAGTTTTTGCTAAAATTACCCCAGTATTTCTAAAAAGTTTGAAATGTAAAAAGTTTGCAGACAGATACACAAACAGATCTCTGCTGGTTAATCAGAAAAGCTCACTTGATCTACCAGCTACCAATGAACACCATGTGATCATTTTAATAGCTTACAGTTTTCGGAGGATCATCCTCATCATGGCGTCTGGTCCGATCTGAGCGAGGGTGATCAGTGTGTCCTGTAGCTCCTCCTCACACTCCTTCTTCTGGGCCTGGGTCGGTACCGTCCCAATCCCCTGGTCATCCTCACAGAACCGGTAAAACAGGTACTTGTCCTTGAACTGATGCTCTCTACATACTGAAATACAAAATTGAAAAATTCTGGCTACACACTGGAAAATTTAAAAGCTGGCATTAACAGTCTACGATGGCTTTGTTAATCTTGAAAAGATTTTTTTTTATATTATCAATTTCCTATGTATTCTCCTGAAAATTTCCATTCCTCATTGTGGCCACCAAGGAATCATAAATTGAACAAACCAGAAATTATGGGTATGACACTCCATCATCAAAAACATTATCATGAAAAGAAAAAAAACCAAACAAACAAACCAAAAAAAAAGAAAATTTGTGGATGGACACTCTCAAATCCATGCAAGCCCTAACAAGGTTGTTGATAAAGATACATATTAACAAACTTTGCTTGGGAAAGAATGACAACTCTTACAGCTCTATTGATAGTGAAATATTGACACCTGCAACTCCCGAGAGTTTAGGAAAATTTAGGCCATTACCTTCAAAGAACAATGGTAAACTTCATTAGTAAGAAGAGCTGGCTGACAAAAGATCCACAAGATTTCCTTCATGTAGAGAAAATGTCAGTCTCAATATAATCTAAGGTAATTCAATATTAAAGACAATCAATTCCCTGAAAATGGTATTGTTACACCCAACAGATCAATTAGGGAAATGTCTAATTGTAAAATCTTTGGTTTGCACTCTAGAAATTGATTATCAATTGGAACTCGGTAGTTGTTTTCTTGAGGAATTTGTTTATTTGGAAACATCTTACTCATGGTGCACTTTTCTAGGGAGTACTCTTAATTAGCCTTTTTTTATTTTCTGTTTTTTATGAAAAGCATACATTTCTTGAAACTTTCATGTACAGCTTATGTTAAACCTACTGATGTAAAGAAGTTTTATTATACATCAAAATTTATTTGCAACTCTCCTTGTACATATTTTTTTTTAATTATACTATCACATACATGTACTATATTTTTGATATTTGAGACTGTAAAGTAACTTTTATTCTCATAGTAAAAATATCCACAAGTTTTGCTTCTTTTTCTAACTCGCAAGTTTTTATCACTGGGAACCAATTATTTTCCTGTGTATTTTTGTAAAATGTTCATCTATTGCAAAAATGAATCATTGTGGAATGATTGCAGACTGAAGTATCAAAAATAAAAGATGATGTAAATATTAATACTTGGTTTACAATATATCTATAACCATTTATAAAATTTGCCTAGCAGTTCAATTTTTATCATAATACGTATAAGTGGAAATTTCAGCGAGATGCAAATTTAGTGATTTGTGTGTTTTATTTTTAGCAAGAATTAATTTTAGCGATATAAAAAGCTCACTAAAGAATCCGTTACAACTAAAACCCAATTAATTTTTAGCGATATTCAATTTCAGCAATCTCAGCACCACGCTAATAATGCCGAAATTACATCCTCACTAAATATTCTGCTTATTTGGTGTTCAAGACACAATCTTACCATGTACAATGATGCCCTCCTCACAAAGAGCCTGCCAGATGCCCACAGCCTGATTTCTGGAGTGAACAATGGGACTCTGCTGCAGTAACCATTCTACCATCTCTGTACCCACCATGCACTTCCTATAGGTACGTAAATGGTACTTCCTGTCCCTCACCATGTGGGGAGCGCGAGTCAGAAGAACGGTCCGTAAAACTTGGCCGGCTCTCTTGAGCTTTTCGGAAGGAATCTGTAATTGTTGTTTGTACATAATGTCAACAAACTAATTTCTGATGGAAGCCGAATATATAGAACTTCAGCTTTCAACAGTTGAAATCAAATATATATATGTGTACATCATCACAAACTATTTAATGTTTATGATCTTGAATCCTTTAAAAAATAAAAATTTCAGTTATGGAAAAAACATAAAACAAATGCTTCAAGTCAAGAAATAAACATTATGGTGATTGCAGTATGTTATGCATCATCAGTTTTATTGGAAGTCATATAAATACAGCTGGCTGGGTGAGGTACAACTATTGCCCATGTAAAATATTGATTTTTGAATGATAAAATTTCATCTTACAGCATATCTAGGATTCAATTTCTTAAATTGATCAAGTTTGATTTTACTCATGTTACAATGTACATCCATCATCACATTTTTTTCCTCATGGCAATAAAATGCTTTCTTTTGAAATCATTTTAGTGTTATTTGTGCAAAGATCATAGATAATTCAGCAATTTTTACACCCTTGTCAATAATTTGAGCAATAAGGGATTTTTTTCGTCATCAATGCAAGCTTCAAAATACTAAAACTCAGTAATTGCTCTCTTGATATTAAAGATGAGGATGGGCTTCAATTTTTAATGTATTTTCTCACTGTTTTACAACCATTTGAAAAAATAATCAAAGTTAATCCCCTGATGTACTTCTGTCAGTAAAAGGGAAAGTGACATCATAGAAAACAACTGAATATTTTTTCATACAACTAAAGTCTCCTGGTGAATCTAGTTCCTTAGGGTTGATAGTAGTTCATGTAGAAATGGGGCAGATAAAATTATATTCATAAAACAAAGATTCTCAAGGCTTTTTGTACTACGAAGAGCTAGGGCAAACAGGATTAGCTAATAGTTTAACACCCTGTCTGCTTTTGTAGAAAGGTCTATAATTCCTTTGATACTTATGTTGAGTTGGTTATACAAACACTGGTGATGGGAGCTGCAGGATTAGGCTGGCCATTATACCGTGTCGCTGCTGTCGAGGATTTACGTTTTCCTGGTCTGGAGAAAGCAGGCGAATATTGCAACTGGTTAGCTGTAACAGTAATGTTTAGTGCTTAAAAAATATCTTTTTGCTCATTATGTACAATTAATATTTAATCCATGATTCTTTATTAAAACAAATGTATTTTGTCTATAAAATAAGATGATATAAGTTTTACATATAAATATGATTGTACTGCAAAGCTTTTACCAATTCATTTTCTTTCAATGAGAAAATTAGATTCCTGTTGACTATATGAGAATTGTTCTGTCAATCTGGGCTTCCTTTAATTTCTTTGTTCATGCATCACAGGTACTTGCTTTGTATACAGGACACCCCCTCCTTTTGGGGAAAGAAAAAGTAGCTGGGGAGGGCCTAGTGTATGCGAAACAAGCACCTGTGCATGTATTTCTGGATTTCACATCTGTAAACTCTCACCTGTTGTGGACAGCCTTTCCAGAGGGGTGATAACTCCTTCAAGTAATTTCTTACTCCCCTGCAAAGAATAAATACAGACTTTTTGCCCATTTTGTTTCAGGTCTATCTCATATACAGGATAACCCAGACATATGTCGAAACCATCAGAGCAGAACACCTGCTCCTTACTCAGATGAATCAAATCAGGGGTAGACAACTTTCGGGGCCTTAGAGTTCTTTTAAAATTGGTCATCAGTTTTAATTTGCTCACTGACTGCCAGGACTGTGACAGACTCTGCGTTCGTTTCACTTTCATTATCCTCTCACCAAAGCCTCAGTAATTCTATTAGTGTATGTCTGGCAAGAATTTTATTACAGTAAACTAAGGGTATGCAAGAAAAACCAAGATCATTAATTATCCTTCACGAACAAATTTAGCACATACTAAAGCAGAGAACGAGCAAATAAGGAATTCCCTTGAGAATGTTATATCTCACAGTATTTTCAGCAGAAAAGATATTAATATCATCGTTTTTGATGATTAAGATGTTTTTTCTCCTTTGCTGTAGAGAGATTTATTGCAAATGATGAGGTTGATGTATGAGATGGTAGTAAAAGCTCTGAAGCCTATAGGCTACTTAGTGAGTACTGCAATGGAAAGTACATAAAGGGGCTATACAGAGTTCTGATGAGAAACCCCATAAAACTGTGAACTCTGGGATTAAATGCTCAGCTGTGTAATCAGGTAGAAATGTCTATCATATCGATGGAAATGAAGTGCATTGTCTCATTGTATGTCCTCCATGACTTGTCTATAGATATCTGCTCTCTCTCTCTGGGTTTCATCAATGAACGTCAACACAATGGTAGTTATAGACTTCCAGTGACAAAAATCTTTCATTAACAGGTCTACCTCTAATTCAAATTGTATCTTCAAAATTTATGGAAACAGTCATCACTTTCTGCAGGTACAGAAGGATTTTTCAATTTTTTTCAACATGGAAGATCAATATCACTTGTAACATCAACACATTGAATATTAAGCGAGGCACAATTCAATCCCTGGCTAGCATTTGAATTAGAGGAAAGGAGCAATTTTCACATTGACATATGAAGCTAAATTACCAAGCCAATAGTCAGCAGTATAAAACAGCCAACAGACATTTCATCCAGTGGAGAAGAAAAACTAAAGCTGTCAACAAGAGCTAATCTGGCTACCATGCAGGCTAAAAAAATGGACACTGTTAATTTCTAAATTCCAAGTCAACAGTTGCAAGTTGACAACCAATGCACTGAGAAAATATTCCAACTTTTAAATATATAATTATATTCCAGTTTGTATGCACATTATCGATTCACAGAAAAAAACACAGCATAATTCTTAATTCTTGTTGCTTTTGTTTTTCATCAATTTCAAACTGCAGAAAAAATCTAAGAAAATTACTTCCATATGGTTTTGTAATCAATTTTAGGGTGTATACAAAAAAACCCTAACAACATCTGCAAGAGCTCAGGCAATGTATAAAATTCAAATTTCACACAATTTTGAAAGAAGTTGATATCATTGGCTGAATACACTTTAGAAATAACCTAACAGATTACAGATACGGTAGCCTAATCAAAAGGATTTTTTCCCCCTAGTATTCATTCAAAAATTAATCATGATGATACCCTCTTTATTGTAATATGAAGGTCAAATGAGTGTCCTTCATGCTAGATAGACATATAGAGTACATAGTTCATTAAAAAAAATGCTCCATTGAGACTGAATAGAATTTTTTTTTATCTATAAAATCTTCCATCTGCTGGTTAAGCATATGCTAAATCCTTCCAATAATTAGTGATTTAACAAAAAATCATTTTTAAATTACCAATAATTTTTTGTTCAACAAAAATAAAAATAAGCCTTGACTATATTTATCATCACTCAATCTCTACATTGTGGAAGAGTTTTATAAACTCCTGTAACGTGCAAGGGAGGTCACTGCCTGTGAACCCCCGCAGGCTCGTACCCGTGATAAAAACGGATAGCCTTGAGATGCTGCAAATATATACAATGCGCAGTCTTAATCACTTGGTACTGCGTTATATAAGGTCTTTACTGGTAGCGAACAAGTGACACTGGCAGGGAAGTCCACACACCAGCGCACTTCCACAAGAGACAAGCAGGGATGACCGCACACTTGCCCTTGCGCAGTGACAAGCAGGGATGACCACACACTTGGCACTAATACGTTCTAGCCTAGAGACACTGGCAGGGATTTCCGCACCAATGCTCTACCACAAGATGCAGGCAGGGATGTCCACACACCTGATCTTGCGCAGCAACAAGCAGGGATGTCCGCACACTTGCTACTTTAAGATGCCAATCACAGAGCAGGGATGACCACACACTCTGTCAAGTAATAAGCAGGGATGACCACACACTTACTACTTAAAACAGTACAATATAAGCAGGGAAGTCCGCACACTTATATGTACACACACAGGTTTGTCAAGTTTTACCTCTAGAACCGACTTCGCAATCCTCGCCAGTAAAAATCCTATATATCCTAACACCATCTAAAATACTTAGTGATTATTTATTTACAAAGTAATTAAAACACGAATCAAGCTTCCACTCAACCAATCTTTAGTAATCCAACTAGTGTAACATACAAAGATTATTATTGATAACTTTAATTCAAATTCAACACTAATTAAGTATTTATTTAAGCACATATATAATTAGTTATAAAAATGACAAGGGCGATAACTTTCGCTATAATGAAAATATAGAAAACGGCTTTCCGTTTCATCACCCCCACCCCAGCTTTATGTGTCCTCGCATAAAAAAAACACAACTGCATTTTTAAGAATCGAACAAATGCTATTTACAAAAACAAATATCTACACTGTATTCCCCATTCTGCAAAATAAAATATGTATAAATATTCTACTCAACAGAATAGTAATTACAGTATCACATTTACCATTGCGCAAAACAAAATGTTATATTTTGTTTAACCCAATGGTAAACAGAACCAATCAGGTTCACTTGCTGGCCCAGGTGCCTTTCATTTCTTTGAATTCCCTCCGCAAAGTCTCAAACTTTGCGCTTAATTCCTCAAGTATCGAGGCAGTTCTTCCTTCCTCGGATTCAACAGTAGTTGGGCGCGCATAGTTCTTTTTCTCAGCTCTGTTGTAAGCTTCTAATTCCACAGCCAATTGAACAGCTTCATTAAGATGCTTAGGACGCGCCTGCTTTATGCGGATGCGCATTTCTGAGTCGACCAATGCGTCCACAAATTGGTCTTTAGACAGTGTTTCCCGAATCCCAGCTGTCGCAGTAGGGAAGGCTAAGTTGGCAAGTCTGCGAATGGCCTGTCCTAGCTCCGGAAGAGATCCTCCAGCTCTTTGGCGCTGCTCACGCATCTGCACCCTGTATAGCTCCGTTGGACTCGGGGGTGCAAATCTATCTTCCAGGGCTTTAACAAGTGTTTGATAATCGGGCTTTGTCCCCTTTGGCATGTTCCCTAACACTCCCTGTGCACTTCCCCGAAGAGAAACTGCTAAATACAATCCTTTCTGAGGATATTTCCATCCACTGATTTCCGCGCATGCCTCGAAATGCGCATGATAATCCAACCAGGGACCACTGCCATCATACGTTGCTGGCTTTATCATTTGTCTTGGTGATGGAAACTCTGTTAGGGCATCGTCTCCCCTTTGAGGACTTCTAAATCTTACTCTGGATCTCCTTGTTATCCCAGGGAGAAGAGAATCATCTTGATCATCTCTGTACAGTTCTTGAGGATGAAGTCTACGCCATTGTTTGTCGTTTCGCGCCGCTTCTCTATCGAATCTTGTAGGAGACTCTGAATGAGTGTAATCGCGAGGTCCCTTTCCGGCTTCTCTAAACATGTCCCTGAGTGATTGTCCTGTAGACTTTTCTTCAAGGATAGGTGCGTGCTGGGTTAGCGCACCATCATGTTCAAGCGTTAATGACTTTTCTTCTGTCTGCCGCAATTCTCCGGAGATGTGAGATTCGCCAACACCCGAGTCTCTTACTTTGTCTTTTATACGCGGGGTCACTGGAGTCGACGACTTGAAACTTCTATTCCTGATACTTTCCTCTTTCAGCTCCGCTAGCTTCTCTTCTATCAGAGATAATTCTTTGTCTACGTCTTCCATCGCGCAGCTATCTCAAGGTATCCCACCGCTGCCACCAAATTTTATGTAACGTGCAAGGGAGGTCACTGCCTGTGAACCCCCGCAGGCTCGTACCCGTGATAAAAACGGATAGCCTTGAGATGCTGCAAATATATACAATGCGCAGTCTTAATCACTTGGTACTGCGTTATATAAGGTCTTTACTGGTAGCGAACAAGTGACACTGGCAGGGAAGTCCACACACCAGCGCACTTCCACAAGAGACAAGCAGGGATGACCGCACACTTGCCCTTGCGCAGTGACAAGCAGGGATGACCACACACTTGGCACTAATATGGTTCTAGCCTAGAGACACTGGCAGGGATTTCCGCACACCAATGCTCTACCACAAGATGCAGGCAGGGATGTCCACACACCTGATCTTGCGCAGCAACAAGCAGGGATGTCCGCACACTTGCTACTTTAAGATGCCAATCACAGAGCAGGGATGACCACACACTCTGTCAAGTAATAAGCAGGGATGACCACACACTTACTACTTAAAACAGTACAATATAAGCAGGGAAGTCCGCACACTTATATGTACACACACAGGTTTGTCAAGTTTTACCTCTAGAACCGACTTCGCAATCCTCGCCAGTAAAAATCCTATATATCCTAACACCATCTAAAATACTTAGTGATTATTTATTTACAAAGTAATTAAAACACGAATCAAGCTTCCACTCAACCAATCTTTAGTAATCCAACTAGTGTAACATACAAAGATTATTATTGATAACTTTAATTCAAATTCAACACTAATTAAGTATTTATTTAAGCACATATATAATTAGTTATAAAAATGACAAGGGCGATAACTTTCGCTATAATGAAAATATAGAAAACGGCTTTCCGTTTCACTCCCACGATTAAAAAAAAAAACTTGTAGGCCTACTTTGAAAAATTACCGGTAACCAGATATTCAAATTCTCTGTTTAGCTTATGCTAGCAAAGTTTAATGTCATACACTGATTACATATAGGTTAATTTATGGAACGCTGTAACTGCCTTATGTGGAGAACTTTCATTATATGCTGGTACTTTGTCATTATATGATGGTATTTTATCATTATATACTGGTACTTTGTCATTATATGATGGTATTTTATCATTATATGATGGTATTTTATCATTATATGATAATATTTTATCATTATATGATGGTATTTTATCATTATATGATGGTATTTTGTCATTATATGATGGTACTTTGTCATTATATGCTGGTACTTTGTCATTATATGATGGTATTTTATCATTATATGCTGGTACTTTGTCATTATATGATGGTACTTTGTCATTATATGATGGTATTTTATCATTATATGATAGTATTTTATCATTATATGATGGTATTTTATCATTATATGATGGTATTTTATCATTATATGATGGTATTTTATCATTATATGCTGGTACTTTGTCATTATATGATGGTATTTCGTCATTATACTACTTTTCATTATACTACTTTTCTTTATACTTTTCTTTATACTACTTTCATTATACTACTTTTCATTGTACTACTTTTCATTATACTACTTTTCTTTATACTGCTTTTCATTATACTACTTTTCATTATATGTTACTACTTTTTCGTCATTATTTGAAGTCTCGATCATCCAGACGCTTGTCTATAACACAAATTCGCTGTTCCTAGACTGGCAGTACAAAATCGGGGATCAGACAGACAAGCCAGTCTAGGTATTGTAACAGTTTTGTTTTGAACTTATTTTACTGAACGAATCAAATGGATTGGAAACAAGTTCTTACAACTTACTACTTCCTCTCCATAAATATAACAATATGTCATGCAAATAATACATTAAAATATAATATTTATAATATTTTCAAGTGATGCAAGTTAATTACAAATCAATTTAAAATCTACATGTTTCACTAATGAATCTATGGACAGCAGCAAAAATATTAATATTAATTGATACAGGCAAATCTCTATCAACCCATAATAACAGGTTAGTGTCAATTGTAACCAATTCTTCCTAACAGTATTTCACTTGGGTTCACGTCAAACCATGGCTGACGCAAAATAATCCCAGTATCTTCCCTTGCGATTCAGGCATTTTGATACGAGACTGGAGCTGAATTTTTTATGAGATGAAAAACAACATGTAAACTTCCTGTATTGACCAGATTTATTAAAATTAATATTTTGCGTCAGTCATGATTTGACGTGAACCCAAGTGAAATACTGTTACGATACCTAGACTGGCTTGCCTGTCTGATCCTCGATTTCGTACTGGCAGTCTAGGAACAGCGAATTTGTGTTATAGACAAGCGTCTGGATGATCGAGTACAAATAATGAAGAAAAAGTAGTAGCATATAATGAAAAGTAGTATAATGAAAAGTAGTATAATGAAAAGTAGTAGCATATAATGACAAAATACCATCATATAATGACAAATTACCATCATGTAATGACAAATTACCATCATATAATGACAAAATACCAGCATATAATGACAAAATACCATCATATAATGACAAAGTACCATCAAATAATGACAAAATACCATCATATAATGACAAAGTACCAGCATATAATGCAAGTTCTGCACATAAGGCAGTTACGGCGTTCCATATTAATTCCACAATTTATATGTCTTTTAGCATTTGATGAAGCAACATTATGATCATAATCTTTAATATATATATTCATGAATCTAGTAATTATGTACTAGTATTAGAAATGCACATTTTTTTAAAAATAGACAGGACAGAGACTGACTTGATAGTATAAAGTTAAGTTGTTTTTTTTTTTTTTTACACATAATTTGTGCAGATCTAAAAAAAAAAAAAATGGAAGCAATACCCTTGACAGTAACAAAGTCTAATTTCATATAAAAACTAAATGCATGGCCCTGATTAGACATGAGGTGTTGAAATTAATCTCGTAATATAATGTCTTTTATTCATACACGCAGTGCCCCACCCCCCCTCCCCCCTTAATTTTTAATATACATTGTATATGATATTCTATGGAATCAGTGCAATTTTATAAATGTTCCCTTTCAATCAATGTTTCATGATCATCATTGTTTGGCTTGTCAAGGAACTTTTGCCTGGTAGCATTCCTTTGCACCAAATTTTATTATCTTATTTAAAAGCAGACCAAAACTATAAAAGGAAAAGCATGTAACACACAGACAAACGGACAGATGAGGGCACAAAATCTTAAAAGCTCTTCTAGTCTTTTTCAAATAGAACTAAAAACTGAATTTTGAGTTGTTTTACCTCCCAAAGGATTTTAAAGTCTTTCTGTTCTACACGAATGAGCTCGGTAAACTCTCTGGTGGTGACTGTGCCATATCTGGGTTTGTTGGTCAAGATGGACTCTCCAAAGCAGGTGCCCTGCACCAGTGTGCTAACAATGACAGCATCCTATAAAAATAAGTCAAAAAATACTGTCATTTACACATCGTAAAGTCATGAATTACCCAATGAGAGTCTATTTATAAGACTTGATAAGAGATCCATGTTTACATTAATCATTGAGTAATTTAAGGACCATAACAAGGCTATTATCACATAAGACAGAAAAAGGACAAAGTCTAAAGCATAGGTAATGTCCTTGTATGAAATCAAACTGTCTTTGTTCACTCTTTGCAATTAAATGTTCTAATTCGGACATTGTCAATAAAAATAGGCCAATGAGCCTTGATGGTCATCTGAGTACAGCAAGTTTCGCAGATTAAGAACCAATTTTGCTCCATGAGTCACTGGAACTCTGGACAAAATCATTACAAAAATTTTATATATTTTGGTCATCACTCATGCCTCTTAATATTTATTATTATTTTTCATGCAGCTTGTCTTTGGAAGTTCATGAGTAAATAAAAAATATTTTGGAACATGCATAATAAATTTCGATTTATGTCCAACTCAATCCCACCTTTAGGCAAGAACCTTGGATTGGGGACATGCATTTTTCTAATTTTCTTGCAGAGAGCTAGCTGATCATTACAATCATGCAAACAACTTTTCCTGCTATATCACAGTCCCAGAGTATATAAAGATTAATTTGGTCTAGACCTACTGATAAAATTTACACCTGTTCCAACAAACATTCAGCAAAAGTAAGCCAATGTTGCATCCAAAGCATTCCATGGTGTTGTGAATCCCAAGTCAAGTGGAATCTACCATGCAAGTTTTGTTTTGGGAAACTTAACAGGTACTTGTGAATGAAGATTGTTAAAAAGTTTTGACTTGGTAATTCATCAAGAAAATTAAAGAAATATTAGAAAATGAAGATGCAGCATCTAAAGCAAGTCTATTAGTGCCCATCCCCATCCAAAGACTTGTCATCATTAAAGCATGCTTTATCCCCACAGTTTCTTGGGAAAGGACCTGCTCCAAAATCTACAACCTACTGAAGCAGGGGTTCTTGAATTTTGAATATGTTAATAGTGGAATTTTGAAAAAAATCCTGCTTATTAAAGATGTATTACACAACAACAACACTGAATCTGGAATTAAGGATACAATGTACCAAAGTTGTAGAAGACCATTTTGATGCACATTTAGCAAATGGTTCAAAAAAGATTGCCTAAGAGATCAGGCTCTGATCTGAGGGAGACCACAACAGACATGAGCAAAGCAGGGTGGCTTTATCTCTGTCAAGGTCTTATAGCAGCTATACCTACAGCATCAGTTATCCTTGAGATGTGCAGATTATTAGACCTGCAATCAATGCTGGTAATGGACTTTTACGAGTAGCGCTGACTTCTACAGTTGACAGCTTACTTTTACACCAGGACAATGTACAGAAGCTCTTTTACGATAAAATATTTAGCTCGACATTTAATTCAACCAAAATAACGGGTTATTTCAAAGTGTAAATCAGTTGTCTTTTAAGAAAACGACAACCACCCTACCTTCAACTCCCGGTCTTCACATGTTAGTGCCCCTAACAACATTAGGGGGCACTACCTATGACCACTAGAAAGGTGTACTTATCTATTATCATTTCTGTACCTCCATGCATAATGCAGGTTTAAATGTCAAGTAAACCATCAAACGTGAAAGTCAGTGCTTCTCGTAAAAGTCCAATAGGATCATATCTGTTCATAGCATTGTTTGGAATCTGCAACCCTTTCAAAATCAACTACTAAAGTCTTAGACACACAGAGTTTACCTAGGGCAATCCTGACATGACAATCTGGTTTAGCAACATGACCAAGATTTTTTATTGCATGACCTGCTGGAAGAGTATAGACATCTTATTGGGGTTTTTTCTTCAGAAAATTGATCCAGAAGGATAACTGAGCTGGCGTTACATGTAATGTTATGATGTGGGTAGTATTTTCCTATAGGTGTGGGTAGTATTAGCTAATAGATTTGGGCAGTACTATCCTATAGATGTGGGCAATATAATCCTATAGATGTGGGCAGTATTATCCTGTAGGTGTAGGCAGTATAATCCTATAGATGTGGGCAGTATAATCCTATAGATGTGGGCAGTATTATCCTGTAGGTGTGGGCAGTATAATCCTATAGATGTGGGCAGTATTGTACTATAGATGTGAGAAGTATAATCCTATGGATGTGGGCAGTATAATTCTACAGATGTGGGCAGTATAATCCTACAGATGTGAGCACTATAATCTTATAGATGTGGGTAGTATAATTCTATAGATATGGGCAGTACTGTCCTGCAGATGTAAGCAGTATAATTCTACAGATGTGGGCAGTATAATCCTATAGATGTGGGCGGTATACTGTAAAATCACAAAATTTCGAGGGGTCAAATTTTCACGGGTTGACGAAAATGTATCAATTCATGGGAATTTTATTTTGTGGCTGATGAATTGTTCAGTAGTAATATATGTGAAAAATTGCATTTCGTGGTGGACATAATTTTCTGGGCCTCTTCATACATTGAAAACCATGAAAATTAACCCCCCCATGAAAATTTGTGATTTCACAGTAATCCTGTAGATGTGGGCAGCATAATCCTACAGGTGTACACAGTATAATCCAATAGATGTGAGCAGTTTAATCCTACAGGTGTAGGCAGTATTGTCCTATAGATGTGGGCAGTATTGTCCCATAAATGTGGGCAGTGTAATCCTATAGATGTGGGCAGTATAATCCTATAGATGTGGGCAATATAATCCTATAGATGTGGGCAGTATTATCCTATAGATGTGGGCAATATAATCCTATAGATGTGGGAGTATATTCTTATAGATGTGGGCAGTATAATCCTATACATGTGGGTAGTATATTCCTACAGATGTGGGCAGTATAGTCCTATAGATGTGGTCAGAATATGCCTATAGATGTGAGAAGTATAATCCTATAGATGTGGGCAGTATTAATCTTATAGATGTGGGCAGTATAATCCTATGGATGTGGGCAGTATAATCCTATAGATGTGGGCAGTATAATCCTATACATGTGGGCAGTATAATCCTATACATGTGGGCAGTATATTCCTACAGATGTGGGCAGTATAATCCTACAGATGTGGGCAGTATAATCCTATGGATGTGGGCAGTATATTCCTGTAGATGTGGGCAGTATATTCCTACAGATGTGGGCAGTATAATCCTATAGATGTGGGCAGTATAATCCTATGGATGTGGGCAGTATTTTCCTACAGATGTGGGCAGTATATTCCTATAGATGTGGGCAGTATAATCCTACAGATGTGGGCAGTATATTCCTATAGTTGTGGGCAGTATAATCCTATAGATGTGGGCAGTATTATTCTTTAGATGTGGAATCAATCTGGCACTTTAACAAGGGAGTTTTACAAATGTACATCCATTTAACAGCTCCTACAGTTGCAAGTTTTTTGTTTTGTTTTTTCCCCTAAATAATGCAGCATAGTAAAACTGTTTTTCAACAAGACAATTCAAAGCCATATATCGATTAACTGACAAGTGGTATGTTAGAAAGACACATCTTCCAGACTCTGCCATCCCTTTAGCCAGAATTAAACCCCAAAGAGTTTGCATGGGTAAGTCTATCCACCAAAGACAAATTCTGCAACAGCAAGACAAAGTTCTAAGGTAAGAGTGGAATGAAATTCCTAGACATTTTGGAGAGACTGAATTACACCCATAAGAAGACATTGCCAAGTTGCCATTGGTCATCATAAGGGGAAACAAGACATTGATCTTCAATAACCTTAAATTGTGTATTGTAGAATTCCTAAGTCTGATAAGTGATTGTAGACCTGTTGTTGAAAACTGTTTATTAATAAATTATTCTCTTTAGTAACCTTCATGGCTTAAAGTGTCATTAAACTTTTACTACACATTTCTTCTTTTGATCTATTTATTTTAGTGTACGTATTTATGAAAGTAAGTTGAGTAGCAACTTTCCATGTTTTTGAGGTTGTGCTACTCAGCTAGACCATGAAATTAGATGGTAAATAACCCAAAAAAATTAAACAGAATACAGGGAGATCCAGGATTCTAAGTTTGAGATCAGTTGATTAGGCATGGGTCTGGGGCTACTTTGAAGACCCCACACAGTGGGTCCAGAGAGAAGCCCTTTAAGGGTCCAGGGGGCAAAAAACCCTCCCCTCCTCTAAAAGCTCTTGGACTCTAGATTTAGCAAGGCAAGAATGAGTTTTTATTGTGATGATTAATGATTAAACTTATTAAAACTACATATTGAAGAGCACTGTTCACGTTATGCATAAAACGACTCTGTAGATATACCAATTTATGGACTAACACTTTAGGTTCCATTTTAAACATCAAAATAAAGTACAGACCTAGTACTTTCATTTCCTATTAAATTTTTCTCATTAAACTCCAGCTCTTGGAACAAAGAAATTGCAATGTTCTTGAATTTTGATGTTAATATGTATATTTGAGTACTTTCAGAAAAGAAAAATAATATGAGCACACCCTCTGATCTAAAAAAAAAATGTCTTGTAATCCTCAGAAACAGTTCAATCATTTTCTAGTTATTTATTTTAGATCAGAGGTTGCACTCTACATCAAATATTGAAAAATAGCTTTAAAAACTGGCTGTTTTTGTAGACTTTTTCAAAATATGAGGAAATTGATGCATTTCTTGACTTCATTATGTATTGACTGGCCAGAAACATACATCATTTTTCATAGACATGCAATTCACCAAAGGTCTAAATGATATTTAATGCATTAACTAAAATTATGCAGTTTTGGGTTTTCAGAAATTCACAGGGCCAAATAAGGCCATAAGTGAACCTTGTTCTTTTTGGAATCAACAATCCCCCTCCCAGCATCTGCCAGTCAGGAATATAGAAACAGAACCTTTACTTTCAATATGTTCAGTCTGAAAATTCATTTCTTTTCAAAGATGGAGCCATGATTTGTATGGAATTTGACAATTTCAAGGACGATTAATTAAACCAAATCACCATATATGTGCTAATTTAT